TTAATTGGTTTTATCGTAAGGATAGATAGAAAAAAGAAAAAGGTGGCATTTCGCGTACGCAACGTTTGAATTTTTTTATTACTACTATGAGTATATGATTCAAGATTTTGAAGGGTCTTACATTATTTTTGTTTGGGGCTCGTTTGGTACGATGGATAAGGAATAATTAATTTTGAAATTAAATTTAATAAGAGTTTATCGCATTTTGGTTGGTAGAAATCGCAGTATAATTAATTTCGGGACTAGTTATCCCGAGATTGTAGTGTTTTCTATCAATGGAAAGGTAGAATAACTAATTCCGGAATAACTAATCTCGGAATAATTAATCCCGGGATAACTTCTTTCCAACCAAACAATCCCTTAATGAGTTGTTCCTGTCAGCTTTGTTACCTTTTACTAACATAATTATTGAATATGTTTGTATTTATCGGATTCTTATTACTTTTCGTCAGTACAGACCGAGCAAGTATTTCAACCTTATGTGTTCTGAATTTGGGACCATGACTTCTAGTATTAATGACTGAATTATAAATTTAATATTTACACATATTTCATGATTTTTTTTGCAGGTTTCAACAATGATCAAAACACTAAATATATTGTTTGAACAAAAGTTATTGGGTTCGGCCGAATCCATAGTGCGGCATATGCCTCCGCCCATATTCGTCAGCATAAGTATTAAGTAACGTTGTCCGTTAAAACTTAGGCAGGTCATAATTTCGTATAAAATCTACCACCCTCCATCAGCGTAAATATAAAATTATTTTATCCATCAAGACTTAGACAAATAAAAAGATCGTCTAACTTTTTTAGACTATGGTCTTCACATTTGTACACATCCACTGACTACTAACTATGCTCTTGAATGCAAGGATCTTATGTTATGTTTATATTATTGGTTTGTTATATTTTGTACCATGAAAAAAATAATCATAAAATTTAGTGGTGAGCACTGAAGCCATGTGGAATCCGAAATCAATCAGCAATTATTAAAAAAAATTATAGGGGTGATTACTGATTACTATAACTTTTTTGAACTTGAAGATAGGCCATAAAAAGATTTCTGCTCAAAATATTTTGTTTTCTTTAATTTTTTCTAAAAATAACTTTTGAGAAATAAACACTCCAAAAAGTTCATACAAAAGCTATTTACTAAATGCATTTTTGTTATGTGCAAAGTTTTTCTTGAAAAAATAATTTTTATATCTCATATGTATAAATCTTGATGGATAGAGTTACTCGATACTTATATTGGTGGGAGATAACGTGTACTTCATCTGTTCATTTTTACTTATCCAGTATTCTAAAAATAGATTTTTACTTTTACTTGTCACTTTTAGCATATCAAGATAAGACAATTTCTTTTTTCCTGTTATATCCATAGTATTAATTACTCATTTCAAATCATTTTCTCAAATTCATTAAATATATGTATCAATTAATATGGGTATCATGGTAAATTATGCACTTTATTTATTATTTCTTAAGGAGAGTACAAAGTCCATAGTGGATAAGTAAAAATAAACAGAGGGATTATCTCATAAAATAGTCGAGAACTAGAAATGCAAACAAAGCTGACCCGAACATTACGATTATTTAAAAATACTTTTCTAAAAAACTTATGATCATGAACCACATGTTTTCAAACTTGTGACCCCACATGATCTATTGGTTACAGCATATTTACTTTGATCAAGACCATACAAGGTTTTATGATCCAACAACTACCAATCTAGAGACTATCTTCAGCTGTTTTAATGGTATTTAATGCTATGTTTCAATTTATTTGTCTCATTGTGCATTTCAAAGTGTTTTAAAATGTTCACCAAAAATGAAGATTTCTTTCTTATTGTTTAATGTTATAATAGGTAAACTTTAATTACATTAATGTAATTAAATAATATACTGTAGTAACTTTCTGTATATTAAGAAAAATCTACAACAATTATGTAGTAACGTTATCAAAATAACTTTTCTAGATATTTATTATTATAAAAAAGAGATGATGATAATGTTACAAATATAGTTTTAAAATCTAGGGAAAAGGGCCAAATTGTCATGAACCAAAATCCGCTAATCGTTATTGGGCACAGACTTGGTACAGGATGCTTTGGAGAAAGTCAAGGTAATTCAGGATAGACTCCGTATAGCCCAGTCCAGACAGAAGAGTTATGCGGACCGGAAGATTCGTGATGTTTCCTACATGGTTGGAGAGCGGGTCCTACTTCGGGTTTCGCCTATGAAGGGCATTATGAGATTTGGGAAGAAAGGGAAGCTGAGTCCGAGGTTTATTAGTCCCTTTGAGATATTGAGACGTGTTGGGGAGGTTGCTTATGAGCTTGCCTTACCTCCCAGCTTGACAGGAGTTCATCCGGTATTTCATGTTTAGATGCTCCGGAGGTATCACGGTGATCCGTCGCACGTGTTGGATTTCAGTTCAGTCCAGTTGGACAAGGATCTATCTTATGTGGAGGAGCCAGTGGCTATTTTGGACAGGCAGGATCAAAAGCTGAGGTCAAAGAACATTGCATCAGTGAAGGTTCAGTGGCGGGGTTAGCCGGTCGAGGAGGCGACTTGGGAGACCGAGCAGGATATGCGCAGGCGTTACCCTCATCTTTTCACTATTTCAGGTATGTCTCTATGCTCGTTCGAGGACGAATGAATGTTTAAGTGTGGGAGGATGTAACGACCCGGCCGGTCATTTTAAGAATTAATGCCCCGATCCCCTATTAACTGCATTCCCCGTGTTTGTTTCTGCTATTGTGAGTTGCCGGGAGGATTTATTTGGAGTTCGAAGAGTTTTGGGACACTTAGTCCCTAAATGAGAATTTAAGTTTTAAAATTTGGACCGTAGTCAGAACAGTGTGAAGACGGCCTCGGAATGGAATTTTATTGGTTCCGTTAGCTCCATTGGGTGATTTTGGGTTTAGGAGCGTGTTCGGATTGTATTTTGGAGGCTCGTAGCTTATTTAGGCTTGAAATGCCGAAAGTTGAATTTTTGAAGTTTCCGGTTCGATTGTGAGATTTTGATATCGGGGTCGGAATGGAATTCCAGAAGTTGGAGTAGCTCCGTAGTGTTGAATGTGACGTGTGTGCCCTCGATTCTGCCTCTTTTCTGACCAGTGAAACCGCATCTGCGGCCCTGGGACCGCACCTGCGGTCCCGCTTCTGCGGAGCTGAAGTCGCATCTGCGATGTTTCATTAAAGATCAATTTTCGCACCTGCGGCTCCTTTACCGCGCCTGCGGTCTCGCAGGTGCGTTCGCCATTTCGCACCTGCGGTTTTTCTGGAGCCTGGTCAATGTCGCTTCTACGGTCTATCAGCCGCTTCTGCGGCGCCGCACCTGCGGTCCCATTCAAGCAGGTGCGGTTATGACAGGTTTAGCAACCTCAAAGTCTTCCTAAGTCCAATCCAACTTTCGTTAAGCACCCGAAACTCACCCTAGGCCCCCGGGACCTCAACCAAATATGCCAACCAATCCTAAAACATTATTCAAACTTGTTCCAACCTTCGGAACGCTCAAAACAACATCAAAACACCAATTTAACATCGGATTCAAGCCTAAGAACTTCAAAAACTCTCAATTACGCTTTTGATCAAAAAGTCTATCAAACCTCGAGCAATATACTATTCTCTAAGCTTTCTAAGCTCTCAATACTCTATTATTTATTTCATATATCTCTTTGCTCATTCCTTTGGTTCGAGGGTAACCTATCTCGAGGGCCAAAGCTGCATATCTCATTGGGTTTGCTTTATTCCTATTTTCAGTTAATTTCAATATCAGTATTGCGTCTTTCTCAGTTTGTACCTAGTAAAATCACGTGTCCTTAAATCCACAGTATAAATTCAATTGTTATCCTTTTTAGGGTAAACAGTTTGGTGCCCACCATGGGGATAAGGATAATAGTGATTGCTTGGTACTAACATTCGTAACCACACACTATTTTATACTTGTTCTTGTGAGTATCTTTGATTCCAGGATCAGTTTGTCAAACTCTCAAGCAACACCGGTACTAACTTTCGTAACCACACACTATTTTATACTTGTTCTTGTGAGTATCTTTGATTCCAGGATCAATTTGTCAAACTCTCAAGCAACACCCACACACACAGACAATGGCCTTGGTCTCCATGGCGAGAACGAGAACATAGCCGCCCTAGGAAATGGAGCACCTCCAGTTGACATCGATGGAGCCCCGGTCGTGGACCCAATCGACGTCAGTTCCCATATTGCCATTAATGGGAATTTGGTCGTCGATCCTGAAAGTAGCTTCCGCAGAGACGTTTGACTAGCCGATCAGAACGCACAGGGCGGTAAAGAAGGCAGGATCAGCCTTCGAGTGATATTTGAAATGTTGCAGACTCAACAAGCTATAGTAGGACAACTCCAAAACATGAACAGTGCACCAAGCTGGATCGAGCTCTAGTCATCACAGGAAGTTGTTCATAGGGCCGAATCAGTGCCAAAGAGATCGAATAGAGGTGAATCGGAGACCAATCCTACTATCATATAGATGCTCGAAGAACTGATAAAGAGAATCGAGAGAGGGAAAAAGAAGATCGAGGAAAACGATAAGAAGGTGGAAACCTATAACACCCGGGTCGACCAAATCTTGGGGCCCACCGATATCGGAAGGACTAGATTCCAAAAAGTTTGTGCAAAAACCTTTCCTTCCGCCTATTCTATTGACCCATCTGCTATGCTCCTGATTCTTTTGTAAAGGAACACGTCGGAGCCATTAAAGTCGCAACAAGAAAGTCGGACCTTTTCAAGGTAAGGCAGAAGGACAACAAGATGCTCAGAGAATTCGTATCTCACTTCCAAACGGAAGGAATGGATTTGCCACCGGTCACTGACGATTGGGCAGTTTAAGCTTTCACTCAAGGTCTCAACGTTCGGAGTTCCATAGATTCA